CCCCCGCTGCTGCGCCCCTCGGCTCGACCCAGCCGGGGCAAGGGGAGGAGGGTCCCGCCCCGAGGTCAGGGGAGCCCGGGGTTTTTCAGAGCAGCGGTGCCTCTTGTGTTCGCAGCCAGGTTTGCTGCGCTTTCCACCTTGTCTTGCTTCTCTTGGCTTGTGCTCAGGGCGGGTGCTGGCAGAGCTCTCCTGTATCTTGAGTGTACTTGGGGTTGGCAGCTCGGCTAGCTGAGGGAGGCTGTTCTGCAAAGGAATCTGCTCCTGCTCAACCTTTGCCACCTAGGTGTTTTTCTGTGACGTTTTGTGGAGAAGTCAGTTCTTCCTAAACAATATCCCCCTACGTTTGCATGCTTTTTGGGGTGCGACCTGATGCCCCTTGGCGCGGTGGCAGACGATCATAAACTGAGCTGGTTTGCCATCAGTCGACATGTTTCACCTACCGTGCAGGTAAAACTGTTTAGAGCTGCGAACTCCAGGGGGGAGAGAGTTTTAGCCTACATTGTGTAAGTATGGCTAGAGACCAATTTGCAAGTTCCCCTTGCTGTAGGGAAGTGTACGTGTTTTAACTAAAAAAGGAAAAACGTGCCATTTTCAGGGTGTGAAGTAACGTTAGCGTTTCACTGACGCGTGTCTCCTTGAGATGTAAAAATAAGCTAAGCAGAGGTCTCGGGAGACTTGTGGGCAAAACTGCTTTGCTCCCTATCAACAGAAGGTGATTTCACAGAGACTCTTAAAAGTAGAACAACTTCAGGTTCTCATATCCTAATGCAAATCTTGTGTTCCTATCACTGAGGTTTGGTTCACAAAACTTAAATCTACTTTGATTCTGCTACTTCCTCATGCTTTTTTTCAGCGCTTCAAATGCAGCAAAGGTTTCCCATTCCAGTCAAAGTGAGTAGTTTGCTAGGATGTTAATAATGATTGCATGTGATCGCCATTACTTTGTATGCATTCCAGCTAGGCAAAGAATGCATTCATTTCCTCATACATCACTTCAATACACTCACTTCAGACACTGAAATATGAAAGGTGCTGTGGACTTCTCTTAATGGCTTCCAGCAGCTTCTAACACCTCTTGAAAGTACACTCTCTTAAAAATTTTATAATTAAAAACCTGGGGTTTTGTTTAATTTATCTCAGGCTGTTGGCTCTTACAGGAAGTGGATTCCCCTCTATCAAGGATTGATATTTTGGAATGCCATATTTGTGTATCTTTCATACATGTGTATCCCAACACTGACTGCTAACAGGCTGCATAGTGCTTTTTCATTTAGCCAGAATTTGAGGTAGATTTGATCTAGCAGATGGAAGTTGATTTGCTTGCCAGTGCATATGATAATCGGAGTTGGAGTAAAGATTTATGTCACTAGTTTTTTTTTTAACGAGGTCTGTTGACAATGAGAAGTCTTGGTCTACTTTGGAGAGGGATGTGAATGGTGACACAGAAAAGCTGTGTATTATTAGAGGCCCTGAATTTGCTTTATGGGACTCAAAAGTATGGTGGAAAACTATTTGTGATCTGTAAATTGGAAAAGGTGAAACCTTTTGGCTTGTAAGAGTTGATGACATCTGACTGAAATTTGGGAAGTGTTAAGTGGGCAAGATGTAATCTTACCCAGAGCTGATATGCCAGTTTTCTGTAGTATTTTTTAGCTATTTCAGTGGTAATCAGAACCTTAAGACCACAGAACACTAGCCTGTGTTTGCTCTGAACTCAAGGATTGTCATCTCACTACTCCAAAACATGGTCTGAAGACGAGCCTGATTTGTTTCACAAAGAAGGACTATGAAGGCATGCTTTAACCTATTACTATAGGATATTTTATTCTCTTGTAATGAGTCTTCTGTAATTTTGACTGAATTGCTTCATCCTCTTCCAGTCAGTGTGCAGTTTATAAGATAGGGAAAGCTTTGTATCCTGTTCTGTCTCTGTGCTGTTTAGTCTGTGGCCCTTCCACCTTAATTAGAGGCCTTAGGTATTTCTACAGTATTGGTTTGTAATCTTGTCAGTCTCTTATCATTGTAGTATAATGGAGTGTTCAACAAAGCACTGAAGAGGCAATTATGGCTGGAAAGAAGTCCAAAGGTTACATTTTATCATTGCAGACTGCAGCAAGGCTGCACCTGGATGTTTTTCTATGAAATAAAAAGTTAAACGTGCCTTGCAATATTATTAGTAGTGCTGACATTTTGTAAACAGAAGCAAAAGTCCCTTTCATACCCAAAGTTTAGAAATGCAGAAACCTAAGTATGTTAAAATTTAAACTAGATTACACTTGACAGCATGGAAGATTTTTGAAATTATTGACACACATCTTTCTTAATTTTGCTATTGCATATACTGTTCATGTGTTTCTTACTTGAATTGAAGGATTCCTTATGTGTTTTGGTTTTTTTTTTCAAAATGAGCCTATCAAACACATTGTCAAAGCATCCATCTAAGGCCAGGGTTTAAGGAAATTAAATGCTTCGTTTTCACCTAGGGATTTCTTTGTATGTATGCAATAGGTAGAGTTTACATTGTGCTTTGAAGTGTGATCTGAGTTTTCCCTGTAACTGTTGTGTGAAGAGTTGTCAGAAGAACTCCCCTAACATTCTGCATTTTTCATTTATTACACTTTTCCATGAGTATTGGATAGCACTTGCTGCTGCAAAGGGAAGTATTTGGTTAGACAAATAATAGCATGATCAGGAAAGTGAGTCCTGTGTCATCCTTTTTTTAAAAGGGGATGTTGCAATTTAAACAGTTTATAAGTTTTCGTTTTGTTTGAAACAGTCCTGTTGCTGACTTAAGCTTATTTAGCTCTTCAAGACCCACTTCCCAGTATTTTTGCTTATGAACATAGAAAGTTTCCTTGGCTATAAAAGTGGAGTCAGTAATTTTATTTTTCACTTCTCCTTTTAAAAGCATTGTTCCTCAGTTTATCCTAGAAAGGTAAAAGGCTATAAAGTTGGGGTTAGAGGGCCTGGGAAGAGCTGACACAGTTCTGTTAAGGGGATTAATGTAATGCTAGAGCAAGTGCTACCTAGGGAATCAATACCTTTCCTAAGCATTAGGTGAAGTTCTTTCCTAGCAGGGGCAGCAGCTACATTGCTCTGAGTGGTGTTGGCTCTGGGGATATAAATGCTGGCAGGGAACTTGTAGGGGATCTGTCAAGTTTGCATCTTTTGCCCATGGATCAGAGAAAGGAGGCTGCTTGGATACTTAGTGGCCTTACACTGCAATGCATGTTTAAAGTCAGTGACTCCCCCCACTTTGTGTGCTCTCCAAACAGATGTATTTCCTTTCAGTGAAAGACTGGAGCAGGGACTGTTTGCTAACAGGTTGCAGAAGCTGTGCTCTTTAAAAACATGCATTAAGGATTAGGTGTTCCATTTTACAGAATGTGAGAATGCCCTGGAGTCCACTGCTGCTTTCCTCAGAGTCTGGAGGTAGGATGTTAGGAGCCCTGGGAACAGAAGGTCTCTGCATTTTCTCCCCATCTGATGAGGTCAGGCTCAGCTGGCTGTGCTGCAGTGGGTGGGCTCCATTCTTGGCACGTAGTTGTGCTGCTCTTTCCCAGTGTACTGCATCTGAATCAACGTGTGACTGTGGAAGCAGAAATCTGTTGTATTCTTTACTTCCTTTCTAGAATAAAACAACTGACCTGAATTCTCCTTGGTTTTCCTGTTTCTGGTTGTGTGATCCTGTTTTTTTTCAGATGGTGTTCAGCCAGAAGTGGTACTTTGGTGACAGCAGTGTTCCCACTGGTGTGAAAGGCATCTGTTTTCACAGCAGTTTTGTACTCCTAGTTTAAAGGTCCCAAGGCTTTGTGTCTGTTCGTCTGCTTTATAAGTTTGCTGAATCTTCTCCATTGAGAATGCTGTCTCCTACAAGCCTCCTTCTGGGGTCCAGGTCCAGGGGTCCCCAGAGCCAACATGCAGCTGTCCTAGTGAATACAATGTCTGTCCTTCATAGCTAGGACATCACCCTTTCAGTGCTAGAGGCTTTCCGTATATGCAGGTAACCATTACGTGATTGGTTGAGTACAGAGCATATCTCCATGCTTTACTTCAAAGCTGGTTGCTGTATGGTTTAGAGCTGGGCTACAGTAGCCTAGATATCCTTTCAGCCTTCTTAGTAAAAGTTCTGGGGAGGGTGGCAGAATGGAGTCTTTGGAAGCTGTTTAATAAGGTGGCTGCAAAACCAATTTTTAATTCTGGTGAGTTCATAATCTGCAGATGCTCTTTTTGGCATGCCAAATTTTAGGCATCTCCTATTTTAATTAGAAAAATCTGCCTTTGTTTACTTGCTTCTGGATAGAGATAGGTTGGAAATGTTGACACTTTTAAAGAGTCAGACTGGAATTAGAAGAAGACAATTTGCTAATTTTATTTTAAAAGCTCAGCACTGAAATTTACCATGGGACCAGAGCCACAATCCTCAAATTTGGGTAAACGTCTTCACAAGTGAATGTAAAAATTAAATGTAGACTTAGAAGTTTTCTTGAGATTGGTGGAGTTCATTGTATCATGTCATATTGGTTCAAGGTGCATGTAATCTTAGCAATCTGGAAACAGTTTCAAAAGTGCTTTCATATCAGAGCCAGAAGTGCAGTGCTGTGTAACTAGGAGCTGTCTCTAGAGAATTACAGGGTAGGTCAGTTTTGGTGAGCATATTTTGGGCTTTTACAGCTGCCACTGTTGTTGTATTTCACCATTTTCCCTCTAAGTAGGGGGTTTATCATGCCAGAACGATTGAGAAACCTTTGTATGACACTTCTGGGGAAAAGACACTAACATAGGCTGAATGATAGAATTTCTGTGCTGTGGGCACTGGGGCTGCTGTACTCTTCAGTTGCACTTACGCTTTGCAGTTTGCTTTCTGCTGCAATGAAAGAAAATGTCTAACATCAATGGAAGCTATGACTTCCTGTAAGCATTGTGGGACTTCATTTAAATAAAGGCCTTTCTTATTTTAAGGGGTGCTATGCTTAGTGTGCTCTGCTTGAGCATGCTCTGCCTAAAGTGATTTCACTTTGTATTTTCAAGCTAGTTTGTTTTGGAGGTTTGGTTTTTATGTTTGGTTGTTGTGTTGGTTTTTTTTACATCAACATGCTTTGAATCTATAAATCTCCACATGTGGTTTGTTTCACTTGAAACTATATAGGAAATCGCCTTCTTCATAGGAGGTTTTTTGAGAACGAAAAAGCTACTTAAATTTTAGCAGGGTAAATGCAAGTAGGAGTTTAACCACCCTTAGAATTGCTCTGTGGCAGTGAACATTTCGGTTTGATTATATCTGTTGTACTTTTGAAGTGCTTTGGAGCTTCTGACATGATTTATAGGAAAAGCCCTGTGGGCTTTTTGCTGAGAAGTTATGGGTCAGTTCTTGCTTTGAATTTAATCCCCTTCCCTGCGATTGTCTTGCACCTGTACAGGAACCCCTGGAGGATATGATGTGCTGATTGTGTATGCAAGTGACGCCACTGAATGGTGTCAGTACCTCCAGAACCTCTTCCTCTTTACTCGGCACGTACGAAAGCATCGGATTCTGACCTACCAGCTGGAAGGCAAGTCTGCCATCTCCCACCAGGAGCTGGACCTGTTCAACAGAAGTCGAAGCATCATCCTTTTGCTATCTGCTGAGCTAGTGCAGAGTTTTTATCTCCCTCCTGTCCTGCAGAGCCTTCAGGAAGCTTTATGGCCTCCCTACAAAGTAGTCAAGCTGTTCTGTGGTGTTGCAGACTGTGATGACTATTTGACCTTTTTCAAGGACTGGTCTCAGTGGCAGGAGCTCACAAATGATGATGAACCTGATGCTTACCTTGCAGCTGTCAAGAAGGCAATTTCAGAAGGTAAGGTAGCAGCTGTGGAATTGTGCTTCCCAGTCAGAGGAGGGAGATTGTGATATTGCTTATCCTTATTTTAACACTAGTAACACGTTTTACTGAAATAGAAAACTAAAGCAAATTGCACAAGCCTTGTAAACTAGGAAGCTTAGCAATCCAGTTTTTCTGTGCCTGGTCAATTGGCCCTTCATTCAGGAAAATTACCAGTGACTCACAGAAAGTATGTCAATTTTGATATAATCTTAGGTACCTGGTTTTGAATGCGAATTAAAAGAAAAAAAAAGCTGATTATCTTTAAGGTTCTACCTGTAAACATTGTGCTCTGCAGTTTATTGACCCAAATCAATTGCAAATTGTCTTTTTATTCAGACTTACATTTCTGTCATACCAGAAACAAAATAAGGTTTTCTAATAAGTATTCTCTAGCACTGGGTCTAAAGTTAGAGGTAAAACCATATTGGCAACAGATCAGCTTATTACCTGTGATGGAACAGCCAAGATTAATTGGAGAATTCCGCCAATGGCCTTAAAAATAACCCAACCAGTCTGAAAGTGATCACCTTCTGTGAAGCACACAGGACTTACTAGCACAGGAGTATTAACAGCTGAAGACTACAGAAGCAAAATATACTGATTTTTAGTTGTGTTTAAACTTTACTAAACTTCAGAGGAGTTTGTGGTACTTGTTTCTCATAGTTTCTGTTGAAATGAAGATGGAGAGCTCCGGGAAGTCATGCTAGTCAGGATTTTTTGTGTCACTACCATACTTAGGGTTATAGAGTTCTTTGTCTTGGCAGAATTAGTCATGTGGTTGCATCTTGGATTACAATTTACCTGTTTTTAGTGGTATAAATGAGGCAGTGCAGTCTTTTAGTGTGTTTGGTGTTGTGCACATAAAGGTGTTTTATGCCAAGATAGCAATAATCATGATGACAAGTTTATCACAGTAAAAATATATTTTGAAAGTCATTATTTTGGCCAAAACAATCCCCCTGAAAAAAAGATGACTTATCGGTTGTGCTTAAGATGGCATTCTCAGATAACCAAGTCACAACAGGGGTTTCCTAGTACCTTTTAAGACCCTGCGTAAATGAAAGTTTGCATCTCCCTGTTAAACACCCCTAAAATGCCTTGGTTTCCCAGTGGATAACCTAGGGCTAAAGTGGTGTAGCTCCTTTGCTTTCAGCCTGGAAGAAAACAGAAAACAGTGTCTGAGCTTTTGTGCTCTGAAAAATAAAACTTACTAGATGTTAAATTAGCTTTTCTGAAACTTTCAGGCAAAAGTGAAAGGTTAGTTACTGTTTTCCTCCAAACTTGAATCTAGAGCATGGCATCAATATTTTATTAATTTTGAATATACTGTTCAAAGTTAGGGAGATTTAAACAACATCTCTCTGGATTACTAGTGTTAATGGTTTTACTTAACATGTTTGAGGACTGTCAGAACTGTTTTAGGACAGAAAGGGAGTCAATTCTAGTGTAGCTGAAGAACAAGTGATGTTGATCTTGAAATCTCTTCCTGAAGCAGCTCTCATCAGTCTCTTCTGACTTGCTGCATTCTGAGGGCACAAAGGACAATGCAGAAGAAAGACTCCTGATTCCTGGGCTGTGGGTGGAGTGGGAGGCACAAGTGTCTCTGCCCTTCGTTACACGGACTGACTTTAGTGGGAGGTTTCATGTAGCCAAGTGAATCCATACTAGTGAGGGACATTCACCCATCTTGCTTGGTTTGGGTGCATTAAAAATCAGAGAGAATTTGAGGTGGAAGGGAAGGGGACAGGCATAGGAATGGAACAACTAGAAACCACTCTGATTCAACTGCTTTTCTCTCTAGAGAGAAGCTGTATTTGTTGAAGTGAAGCACCTAAAATCTGATTTTTATTCTGGGAAAGCATATTGGTTGGCAGTGGTGCAGTGAATGCAGAGCCTTGTCAACTAAAGAGCAGCATCCACTCTCTTTTTCAGATGCAGTCAATTAATTTTATTAAACTGACCTGGCTCTTTTCCTCCACTTCAACAAGTGGTTCTCCACAGCTAGCTCTCTCTGTGTGCAGCCAGCTGCATCTTGGCATGCTGCATGCTGTCACTGGGGGATCTGTGTGCTGGATCTTCCCAGCACTTCTGAGGGATGGTCCAGAGGTGAGTCTTACTGGTAGCACTCTGCTGTCTTGTCTGAACAGCCAAGGAAGTATGTCTTTTGTGCCTGCCTGTTTAGTGGGCTGACTGCCATACATCTATGGCAAGACTTCTTTGAGGTAAAGCACTATGGTCTGACTCTTCACAGCTGGATGTAGAGTCTTTTTCCAGAGGTGTCATCGCTGCTCAAAGGTCACATGTGTTGAAAAAACCCACACTTTAGCTTTATGTAAATGGTGTTTTGAAAGGGAGATTGTGTTTTGGATTTTTGTTATTTCTACATAGCAACAAAAAAAATCAGCTTATTTTCTCTCACTTGAGCAAGCATACATTGATCTCAAACTGACTTCATTATATCTAGATAATATTTGACTTAGAGAAAAAAATGAGATAAAAAATGTTTCATTTACTGTGGACTCTGCTGTAGTATTTTTCAAATAGTTTGATACACAAAAATTCAGAATTTCTGGACTTTTATTACTGCAATGTGAGCCCTACCTGATGTAAACTGCCATCTGCATGCAAGAGTTGGGTAATGTTAGGCTGTGTCTTTGTGCACATCAGAGCAGTTGCCAAGGCAAACCATTCATTGTTATCCTGACTCTTGTGAAGGAAGAACCTACTTAACATAGGCTGGTTTCATGGGCAAAGTATTTGGACGAATGTATCAGATCCTAATTCTGTGTGGGAAAAAATGACTAGGTGAACTCTATCATTGTGTGATTCTGCAGACAGCTTTTGTGAATGGTCTCAAATGCAAATGTTTTGATGCTTCCTCTGAAGCAAAGACAGCCCCAGGTGTATCTAGTTCCCTTTTTGGGTGAAACTGTGAAAACTTTCTTCTTGGTTGGTAATATAAAATTAGCATCTGCCTTGTTTGGTTGCAGCCAACCTCAGTATGAGTAACTTAAAGAGTGTGACAGCAGATCTTTCCCATAGAGAGATCCCACTGCCTGTGCTCTTCTCCCAGGACTTCACTGTTGGGATTTTAGATGAAGGCTTTGGAAGTCAAGAGCTCTTAGAAGGTGTCAGTTAAGTCCATTCTCTACAGCAGACCATAAACCTCTCCTGAGTAAAGCAGCCCTCAAATGCTACAACACTTAGCAGAGAAATTTTGTGACCATATTTGAAATTGTCTGAGTGTCTTCCTCTGGGAAGTATTTATCTCCACACGGCAGTACTTTTAGCAGCAATGTCAGCACACAGAAAAAAATTTAAGCCTGATGCAAGTTTCAGCTTCATTGTAGCTGAATCCTGAGCTAATGGAGCATATGACACAGGACATAGTCACAAACACCTCTCCAGAGCCTGCACATGGGCCCTGCTCAGGCTATGCTGTTGCCTGTAGCACAGCTGTTAGGCTGTGGTTTGTTTAGTGCATCATGGGAACATGACACCCCCAGACATCACATGCTAAAAGCTATTTTCATTTTTATTATTTTAGTATGAATTCAGAAATGAGGAAGCACCCATCTAGCCTTGTTGAGAACTAAGTGCATGCTGACATTGACTCTTACTGTCTTGTAGATGGGACCTTTTTACTTCTATAGTTTCTCAATCCTGGCAAACTACAGAAGGCATGATGGTTTCCCTTTGCAGACATTCCTGTTACCTGTGGGGAAATTTTTCAGGCTATGTAGTAACTATGCTGAGGACATGGAAATGCTCAGGATGGCACTGTACAAGCCAGCTTGGGTCTGGCAGGGTATAGTCACCTGCCAGGGCGCAGTGACCAGCCTGCTGCTTAAGCTCTCTTGTCTGGGTTATGATACTACACCATACTGTGATGTATGCAGTGAGAGTCTGTGCTGCACAGTTGGAGTCAGCAGCCTTTCTCTTCCTCCTGTGTTCTTAAAGCTCTCTTGACATCTGGTTTGTATTAGGCACATTTCAACCTCTCCAGTTTATTTCAGCCCCTACATGTATTGTCTTGAGAATTTTCAATTTTCCTGCTTTAAAAGTTGATGTTTCCAAAGCCGTTTGCTAATTAATAAATGACTTTGAACTTTCTGTACCCAAGCAAACTCTTGTAGAGAAAAAGCCAGGGAAGTTGACATGTGCTTGAGATTTCTGAGATGATAACAATGTAACAGCAGTTGTGGGTCATGCTGTTGAAGGACTAGTCCAGTCCTGGCTGAGCAGAGCTCTCTTGCCATGAAAAGTATAAGAAAGAAAGATCAGTACCAGCAAACTTCTTGAAAACAGGAGGGTCAGAAGGGTGTGTAAGGAAGTATGTGGTGAATATGGAGGACAGTGGACAGTTAGAAAGAAGATGAGCATTTTGCAGGAGCCCTGTAGATGAGGAAGAGCTGGAATGTTGTAACTGCATTGAGTGGCTCATCAAGAAATACCAGAGACCAAGGCAGTCAGCTTCTCTTGGGAGGAAAATGGCATAACAGAAAGTTCATAAGCTGTTTATCTCCCTCCTGTACATGTCAAGGAATTTAATTAATTTTCTGGCTTTCTTCTGTTGCACTGGTGAAACACTGGATGAAACTTGAGAGCATATCACAGAATCATTCAGGTTGAGCGGGCCTCTTGAGCTTATCTGGTCCAACCTCCGTGCTCAAGCATTGTCAGATGAAGAAGCCTAAGACCATATCCAAGTTTTCAATGTATCTGCAAGTGGAGATTTCATGACCTCTTTGTCCACCCTCAGAACGAGCAAGTTTTTTCTTGTGTTCGGATGGAATTTCACGTTTCAGTTTGTGCCCATTGCCTCTTGTTCTGTCCGTGGGCACTATGGAAAAGAGTTTATCACCCTCTTTTTGATTTAAGTCCATCAGGTGAAAATTTATAAGATCCCTAGAAGGACTGTGAAGGTATGTCAGATAAGTGCCTCTATGAAACTACTTCTTTCATCTTCAGCC